ACGATAAGAACATAACCGAATACTTCTTACCGTTGTCTTTGTGTCTCGAATAAAAAGTTCTCCATTAACCATCGCTGTTCGAAGATTTATTGGACAGGGAACAAAGGTCAAGCCTGCTGATAATAAACTTTGAATTATGTTAGTCTCCTACGGCTGAAGACTGAACCCACTTTCACTCCATGAGTTTGGCTTTCAATAACTGTTAACATCATGATGATGCAGTTTCAACGTAACCGGTAGGTATGCTTTGTAATTAAAGGTCTTCATAAATATTTTTTATTTGATTAGTAGACACTATCTATTAGTTTGCAGTAGAATTTGATAGATCAGAATCGATGTTAAACCTTGGTGCGTTAAATAATGATAATAAACTGAAATTATGAAATACCTATTTCATAAGTCAGTCATTAACCAATTATCCAATTATTGTACATTACATAAAGCATGCCCTTAACATTTTTATCGTATTATTCTCAAAATTTTCTCACGAATTTATTTAATTGGTCTTCGAAATACATTATTTTCTTTGCCAGCAATAATCAATAACTTGTTCATTGACACGATCGCTAAATCATTCTTAATCAGTGTTAAGGATGTGGAAAAGGCACGTTTAATCCATTAATGATTCAGCACATGCACCTCGCAGCTCAAAATGTTTCGCAAGACCAATCAATTGGCATTCATAATTATCTATTGCCACAGATGCAGGTTCCCATACCGAAACCTTGAAGCCGTTCTTGATACGTTATGGGCTGGTGTAGAAATCGTCGCGTCTGCGTCTAAATGATCTATTTCATTTGAATACAATGCAGCTAGCAGTCCAAACTCGTCGGCTTCATGTCACAGGTTTCAAAACTGGCCGGTGAGATAATCTGTAACTCATTTAACAGGTTTGCGAGATGTATTTATTGTTTTCAATTTGTTATCTGGGAACTGGTACAGTCATTAATTAAAGCTCCTTTAGATATTGTCTTAAATTGGACTTCTGTTATTATTGACGTAACAAGAACTTTTTAGGAATATTAGTATTTTCGAGTACCTACTATGAAAACAAAATCTGGATTAAGGAGCGAACGCTTTAGATCTATTTAATACGTGGGTTTGTGGGAATTTAACCCATTACTATAGTAGACACACACATGCCTTGAATCAATGTTGGTTAATAATATGGAATCGTGTGTGTATGCAGCTTATTATTATTTCAAAGAAGCGACTGTTTTGTCAACAAAAAATCCTTTTACGCATTCTAGGGATACGGAAATGTATGCAAAAGGTGTTTAAGTCCAGGAAATACTGGACGTTGGTTGAAAACAAAACGGACGCGTTTCCTGCGAGTTGCAGCAAGCCCAGCATTCCTAGAACAATCATGGATGAATAATACAAGTGCATTGTAAATAAGAATGTAAATATTGCCTGTTTCGATGGAATAGAGAACGTGATTTGTTTTAAGTGGGAACTCTTGTGGCCGTAGATATGGGCGTCTATACAGGGTGCATCGTCATAGAGGATTATTGGCTTAATTCTCTAATGCCCGTTTTAACCATCAATCCCTTATTTTTAAGTGACACATAACAAGGATTTTGCTATAGGTCTGGCCGTTTGGGTACACTTAAAAATTAGGGGTTGAATGTGAAAATGGGCATAAGGCCCCTGTAAGTATGGATTAAAGAAAAAGGACTGATTCTACTATGCAAATGCAACAATTTTCCTACAGGAACAATATCCAAATTCTTAAAAACAAATTGACGTCCACGTACTAATTGGTTGATTATTGAAGACAGTTTGTATGAAACCATGAATGTTTTGGAAGATTACAACCTTTTCTTGGGGAAAGTTGTTGCCTTTGAGCCGTAGTATCAATATTTTTTGTTTGATCGAGACTTACAGAGACACCCTGTATAATCGGACGTTTATGATTGTCCAGATGTCGGAACTATCGATTACGTGTGTCCGAGCCAATTGTCGATATTATTATAATAGTCAGCTGTCGTGTCCGCGGCCTATCGATGGTGTTCGACGTACAAATTGAACTATTTGAGAGAAAGTCTGCGTTGGAACGGTTGAAAACCGTAACACGTGGCTGCGTGCACCGTGAACGATTCGCGATGCTGTGAACGTAGATTGATATTAATGAACTACATGGAATGTGAGGCAATTATTTGAAAATATGAATAAAAAGTGAATAAATGAATATGAATAATATTTCTAAAATTTTCGAAACACGCGCTAATTGAATTGATGTTTTTTAGATTTTGACATTTTTAAGATTCCTTTGACTCATTGAAGTAATTCGAAATGCATCTTTATTCCACTTGTTATATTCACTTGTTGGCAACTGCTGTGTGCGCTCCTAATGATGTGAATTCTTCTAATATTGGAAAATAATGATCCTGTTAGTTTAGGAAAGTATGTAGAGTTGTCAAATGTAGTCCATATTTAGCATAAGCTAAATGAATGGTCAATAAAATAAGATGATGAACAAAAATTTTCATAGTTGACTCTTCGTGATAAAGGCATGTTAAATATGTACGAGTACTTATGTTAGTAATATAATTTCAAATACACATGAAATGTAAAATAGTTACTAATAATACATATAACAATAACCATACGCAATTTACGTATACCTAGCACGTAAAAGCACACACTTTAGCCATAACATGCTTCAAATAATGACTAGTGCAATTAACACAACTTAAATTAAACTTAAACTACTTTTTAACTGTAGTATCAAAACTTAGCTAACTATTGAGATCACTGCATGAGGAAGTACGAGGCTGTCGACCCCAATGCGGCAGACACAAAAAGTCAAACAAAAAATCCAACATGTCACTGAATGAACTAATGCAATTACAGGTATGTCTTATTAAGCCTATTATAAAGTTGGCTTATTGATTTTTCTCAATTTATCTACTTGAAAATAGCAAGTAAGTATGTTAGATTCAAGTGAATACACCCTCTTTCGGATGATTCAAAACGGCATGCTCTTAGTAAAGTATTTTATATCCGTTCAGTTGTAGTAACTTAACTGTTGTCACTAAACTTGTCTGACAATAGATTAAAGGTTTAACTAATGAGGGCTATCGTTTTAGCGCTCACCAGTTTACGCCACTGTAGAGTAAGGTCCTGTCACTTGCTAGTAGTGAAGACAGTGGCGCCAACTTGTGAGCGCTAAAGTGGTAGGAGGACTATCGCATTTGCACTCATCAAGATGGCGCCACTGTAGAGTAAGGTCCTGTCAATCGCCAGGGGTGCCAACTGTTAAGTATAAAAACGATAGCCCTCATTATTCTTCTTCTTCTTGTCGTGTCGACTACAAACCTACACAGCGTCAGCCCAAAACTCCGCCACAAGAGTCACGTTGTCAGTAGCCTTCATTAAATCTTCCTGCGTTTAGTTGTTTGGGACGCAGGGCACGACATCATTATGCTTCGTCAACTGGGGAACAAAACCACACTTCACTCCAAGTTTGAGCCATCCAAGAAACCCCACCTGAACAGATTGTCCTTACTAAGGCCGACCTGCGTCCGAAGTCTATTTTAAAGATTTCCATGTCGATGGCTCCTACGTATAAGGGCGAAACTGCCGCTTACGCCTTTTTCCAATTATTTAAGCAATGATTTCATTTTGCTAATCTATAACGTCAGTAAGAAAAAAAAATTTTTTTTTCCATTCGATACAAAATAAAATTTTAGGCAAATAGGCGTATGTGCAAAACTACGCCACGTATAAAGCCCAATCATACGATTCGTCAATCTATACGAGTAGTTGCTTACGTAAATATATATTTTTTATAATCCAAATCTTAAATAAAGCCATGAAAATATTCAGCAAATTGTTTTATTTATAAATTATGACACATTATATAGTTATTTAATTTTAAGCGTTAAGAGTCGCATCTCAAACTAATTTGAAAATTATAAATAACTTGAAAAAATCGAACTGCCTAAGGCATCGTGGGTTCAATTCCCGCCTTAGGAAGTTCGAATTTTTCAAGTTATTTTTAATTTTTAAAAATATGACACATTATGTTAAAAGACCTAACTAAATCTCGAGCACAATATATGGGCGTATTTGCGTTAAAACGTAATAACGATACATTAAATAACTTTTTCTAACTGATTTATTATTGATATAGCACATGATAACAATTAAAATAATTACATGCATAAATAAAGAGAGTAATCGCTTAAAATATTATATTTACATTGTCATTTAAGTCTCTTTACGTTGAACAATATACATGAATAGTTATTTAATTTTTAGCGTTAAGAGTCGCATCTCAAACTAATTTGAAAATTATTTTTTCAAGTTATTTATAATTTTCAAAATATACATGAAATTATAGAAATGTGACGACGTAAAAGGGCAATACGTAAAATCTCAAAATATATAACAAAAATATAAAAATTGATAACGGCAGTAGCAAAAGCATTACATGTTAAGGCTAAATGTGAAATTTCATTAAATTCGTTTTAGTAGGTCAGAAGATATGACCCAAAAATATGGTTCTGGCCACTAAAATGGCTCTCCTGTAAAATTTACTTTTTTCACTTACGCCAGTATACGTAGGAGCCATCGNAGATTTCCATGTAGGCCAGGGGAGCTCATGTCCAGGCGGAGGACTCTCAGACATAGGGACAAAAGGGCAGGGAAGATCAGCTCTCTCACGCTTTAACATGCATCTCTCTATTATTAAGATTTTGTCTCTCATGACTATACCTGGTGGAACCTGGTGAAGGTTGCGTAGAGCGCGAATGGATGCGTGCAGCCTTGGACCTGTCGTGGAAATCTTTCCCGGTATTCCTTCAGCAAATATTATTTTGTTATGAAGCTGCATACTATGTGAATAAATTCATTTTTGATCACACAGTTTACTTATTATATGGCTGTTCAAAATTATACGGGGCCATAAATTATACCTTTCATCGTCTAACATGTAATACATAGTAATGATATTAAGCAATCATACATCTATAAACCTTACAAAGAAACTACGATTAGAAATAAAGATAAGCTTTAAGCCCGACGCAATCAANTCGCAGGCAGCCGTCGAAGCCGGCGTCGCGCACGTGGACTATGCCCTTGTTGTTGCCGCCGAAGTTCATCGTGTCCACGGCTGTGATCTCCATGATTGGTGATGACGATACCGCGCGGAGGATTTCGTCGTCCACCTTGGGAATAAAAACGAATACCAGTTAAGGACCATAAACACTCTTCGTATGCTATTATTTGAGAGTAAATAGTTTGCGGAGGTGTTAAAAGAATCAATTGTTTGTAATAGTTATCAAGAAAGAAGGCATGGAAAATTCGATAATGATTTAGGAATTTCAACCGTTTTGACCGTTATTTCTGAGTTCTACAGCTTGCATATTTTTATCGCTTCTGCCTGCTGAAGATTTTCCCGATAGCTGGTAATAAGTTGTGTCCAGAAATTGTCTTTTGTTATAACTGATGGCAAGCAACTCACTGATAGAGAAATGTGTTAGTGTGCGTGTGCTAGCATGCGAGGTGTGTGTGTTGTGCATACCTTGAGAGAGCAGTTGGCGAGGTAGCGGCCGGCGTCCAGTTTGTGCCATTTGCCGTCGTTGTATGTCTTCTGTGTGCCAATGATCACCATGTCTTGTGGGTTGCCGAGTGACGTCTGTAAGAAGATAAGACTAATATAAGTATACTCTTGACAAATTAACCTTGTGTTTCATAAAAAAATCGTTTAGTCGAGCCAATACATGTGTTCCATTTTGACAGGTGAGTAACAACCACGCTTCCCTGCTCACTCGCTCGCCAACTAAATGAGTCCAAACTCGGCGGTTCGATCGATCAAACTGCGAACGGTTTTTTGGTCAGTAGCGAGTAGTTTAGTTATTAAGGCTGATGTACACGTGTTAAGTAGGTACCTAACTAAATTTTAAGTTGATTTTTCTGTCAAGTTGGTGAACGAGGCTTGTTACTTGACACGTTTTGACAAGCAGTTTCATAGTAAACAAGAGCTTGACGTTTGGAATTAAGTTAAAATTTAGTTACGATGCAATTTGATCACTTAAAAGTTAACTACTTAATACGTGTAAATCAGCCTTTATAAGGGTGAGTTACTACTAGATTACTCGATTAGAGCGGACAAGGCTTTAAAGCGGTACTCTTGCAGTCCAGAACTGTACNAAAGTTTTTGAGTGGTGACCACGAGCCGGAAGACGTAGCGTGGGCAGGCCTCCCACTAGGTGGACCGACGATTTGGGAAAGGTCGCAGGAAGTGCCTGGATGCGAGCGGCGCAGGACGTCTTTCGGCTGAAACGAAGGAACTAACGCTAAGAGAGATGGCTAAAGAAATAGCCAAAATGGACCCTCGTAAAGCACTTGCATCACCATGAAGTCCATGGTCTTGACAATGATCACACTGAGTGAGAAGAACCTCGCAAGTCTCTTAACTTTGGAAATGATCCAAAAGGCTGGCAAGTCGCCTAACGAATTCTCTTATCGCTCAATTAATCTGACATTTGTATTGTTAAAATTATGGAAAAGGATCATTCTTGCTCGTTTATTCCCTTGCCTAACTATGACCCATGTAATATAGTATACCCGACCATAAGTAAATCACTGCTTTAGTGGCTCAAACCCCAACAAACTGCAAATCACCTGATTAGTCTTGACGACAGATACTAAAAAAGCAGATTTAAAAAAAATACCTAATGAACAAAGGTCAAACAAGGTCACGCCGCCGACGCCGCCGCCGCCGAGGTCAAAAAGTCGGCGCGCCGCCGCCGGCCAATTTTATATCGGCGCCCACCTCTAAGCCCGACGCAATCAACGCTACCACTCCAATTAACGACTTTGTTAATGATCAGCGCTACTTAGCGGCAATTAATATGAACTAACCGCCGATCATTTCATGCTGTTTATGTCTTTAATTAAAATGTTTGTCTTTAAATAGACATGGTTCGGATAGATCGTAACATGGAGTTAAACTTGCCGGTGATGAAGTTAAGATGTAATATTAAAATTTTAACACAATTAAAATAAACAAACAAATGAAATAACTAGACTTTCAGCTCGTCTTGGACTAGAAAGTCAAAGCGAATGTTTCTTCGCAAAGTAAGACATGAAATGCATCAAAAATTGATGTCAAATTAGAAAAAAACCCAATCTCCGAATTGAGTTTGTGTACGCGTGACCTTAAATAGTCTTCGTTCAGTTCAATTTCAATGTCAACTGAGGTTAACGCCTCAACTATGGCCATCTGTTCCGCGCCGCTAGCGTTTCAATATTAGATCACGGCATCTCTGTGAAACACATGGGCCATATCCATAAATATAGCAAAACCCGTCATTTTATGTTTAACAAAATACAAATTTGTATTCAGAGAAAGTCCGCATTTTACCAGAATCAGTGTCACGAACATCTTTATCTTCACCATTGAAGAAAAGCCATCCTATAATATCATTGTTATTTTGCGAAATTTCTTCTATGATTCATTAGTCAGTACCACTTGACCCACCCAAGAGCAGGTTGTGGAGAAATCGAGGAAAATTTGTAGACTCAGCCATAAGGCAACATATAAACGGTTCCAAAGTTTGTTCAAAGCCTAATGATGTTAAGTACATTACCTAACGTTTCTATTAAGTGGTTACCCAATAGTGGACTACAAGAAAAGCTTCTGTACTTTCTAAAGAATCCACCGGAACCGAAGGCGGATGGCAGATGCGGGTCTGTGACCAACGTTAATGCGTGATTCCGTTACTAGGCGCGTGCGTATGGCCCTTACTTCTTGTCTCCCGTGTGTCGTGTAACAGTTTTCTCGTTCTCGGTAACCGTTTCAAATTAGGAACGAGATGTTGTAGGCGTTTTAGGTTTAATTTGAGCTGTATTGTCACGAGAAATTATGTCCTTGTTCAAAAGTATCGCTCTTCTTCACAAACATTTGTCATAGCAATTATTTTGATTAATTTAAAACAAATCTCCATTTAAGGAGCTTTGTCAAATTGTCAATTTAAACGAATTTGTTAGCAATAGTAGCACAATAATAATTTGTTGTCATAACGCATTTCTAACATTACTCAATAAATAAAAGTTGGACAAACAGCATTAAATATTACTCTACAAAAATATAGTTGGTAGAAAGTTAAAAATCAGTAATCTTTATTTCCGTAGTCTACACATAGCACGCGCTCAGTCACGCTTGTCTAGAAATGTATTGTGTATGAATATATTAGCTGAATATTTCTTTTAAAATTTTAAACGTTCGTTTAAACGTTATAGGTACAGTAAATTAACGGATTAATTAGTTTTTAAAAAATCTGGACAAATGATTGTGCGTGTTTTTCGTTAATAAGATAATTCGTCGCTTATATCAACAATAAATATTAGTTTTATCGTGTAAGTGCACCGATTTATTTATTATTATAAAAACCAACATTTTCATTTACATTTGAATTATTTATGCGGTTAAAAACTGGTTCCCTAATTTTTTTTCTTATGTGTACAATGTACAGTCACGGAATGAAAAGGTTCGTCAGTTTTCAAATTGATTCCTTCAACGAATCGCGAGCACATATTACCTTTTGAAACTATGTTACAGAATAATCTCGAGTTAGAGAAAGTAATCTTTAACTGTTCGTCAGTAAAGTTCAAAATTATTCAGATCAGAGTTGTTTGACGATTTATCTTGTCAAGAAGATTAGATTTATAAACTAAATAAAACCTTCTTGTTGGTTCAACTTGCCATTATTATTTCTATTAAATAAAAAAAACTATTGTCAATTGGTCAATGTCATCATTGCATTGCACTGATGGGATAGAAAAATAAACAAGCAAAACCTTATTCATTAGCAAACGTCATATTATTATTTATTTAAATGTTAGCAGTGGGTCTAGACAAAGTGCAAATTATAATCGCAAACCAGTCGATAAGTGGTCGAAAAGCCCCTTTTTTGTATGGAGTTTTGACGGATTCGATTTTCGCTTCGATCAAAAAGTGCGTTTTGTCTAGGGGGGCAGCACTGTTTCTTGCACTGTTATGTTGGCAGGTTTGACTCTTACAGTACCTAGTGCAAGCGAAAACCGACACTAAGGTGACGAACCTTTTCATTCCGCGACTGTACACAATTAATTTCGAATATATGTATTTCGTTTATTTATTTGTAGTCTTGTATACCACTAAAATGTAAAGGTACAATTTAAAATGTACAGTACTACATGCAAAATAATATTCAGCTTGTACACAAAACCTTTCAAGGCGATGAATTAGTTTTACTAATAACATGCTTATTAAATCGGTTTCATCATCTGGTCATTTGGTCTCCACAGTCTCTAAGGAACGGACTCCAAGAGTCAAATATTTGGCCTAAGTATACGCTGGCCAGACCGTTTGGGGAGTATTGGAGAGGCCCGATGTTGGCATATTTCTCCCTTACGTCCGTATTCACAAACGATACTTGCTTAAGTGAAGCAGCAAATCGAACAGCGTTGAATAGAGCTCTGTGATTGGTTCATGTGTCACCCTGTGCGTCCACGCGCACTGTGAGAGCTCATAGTAAAGTTTGTGAATACGGGTTAGTCGCCTCTTACATAAAATAGATAGTAACAGAAGACATTCTAAGCCTGTATTTCCTTCATTTTGCGTGCACACAGACGCATCTAAAGCTGTCGCCATTCCCGCTGTCACTGGTTTAGACTGGTCTGCGATTATTGGCGATGTCTCCGTGAGCGTTGTCTATGTGTGCGTTGCCCGAGCGCACTTTGTATGTACAGTCTAATTTTTTAGAAATCAGCAGAAATGTCATCAAAAATGGCCAACTGACATAAAAATATTTTTAGTCTGTGAACTAGTGATGCGACAAAACCTCTCGTTAATCGCGAAGTGAAATATTGTAGTACTTGCGTATCATCGCCGGGTGATCGTCAAAATACTAAAAATATGCAACAAAGTCGCAACATTGAATGTGAACTGATTATGAAATTTTCGAGAACAGGAAACAAACTATACAGTTTGTTTGTTTGCATACGCACAGACGTAATCAAAAAACACACTGGACAGTAAAACAATCAATGATAATAATATCCGTAAAGTTATTTAACTTCAAATAGTTGCAAAAAGTTCTGTTTGACAGTGTTGCTTCTAGCGACATCTCGCGCGCTCAGTTCTTTGTTGCTCTATTCCGCTAGGGATGTAATTTAAGATGCGAAAATCCGCCAGATGGCAATACGTAGACGCGAGGTCCAAATGCTGTATGATTGGTTATTTTTGACATGACATTGACAGATATGTCAAAATCCACCAATCGCGCAGCGCGAGGTCCAAATGCTGCATGATTTGTTATTTTTGACATGACATTGACAGAGTCAAAATCCACCAATCACGCAGCATTTGGACCTCGCGTCTACGTATTGCCATCTGGCGGATTTTTCAATCGCGAAAACCCTCACTGAAAGAATATTTTTATTTTCTTTTATTTTATTTACTTATATAGGAAAATAAGCAATGGAACAATACGTAAGCATAATTGCATAAAAAAGTAAAATAATTTCGTTTAAATAAAACCGACTAAAAATTAAACTGACTCCGAAAAAGTATACCATAAATAAAAGTAGAAAAATAATTTTACGTTATCTCCAATATTGTCGAAGTTATCGCTGGAAAACTAAACAAAGT